ATCTGGTCCTCTGGACATTCAAAAAAACAAAAAACAAAAAGCAAAAATTTTTTTTTTTTGCTTTTTGTTTTTTTGAATGTCCAGAGGACCAGATTGAACTTTGTTGTTATTATAACTGTTGTTATTGATTATAACTGTTATTTAATATAACTGTTGTTATTTATTATAACTGTTGTTATTTATTATAACTGTTGTTATTTATTATAACAGTTATTATTTATTATGACAGTTATTTATTATAACTGTTGTTATTATAACTGTTATTTAATATAAATGTTGTTATCTATTATAACTGTTGTTATTTATTATGACTGTAATTTATTATAACTGTTGTTATTTATTATGACAGTTATTTATTATGACAGCTATTTATTATAACTTATTTATTATAACTGTTGTTACATCTTATAACAGTTATTTATTACAACTGTTATTTATTATGACTGTTGTTATTTATTAGAATTGTTGTTATTTATTATAACTGTTATTTATTATAACTGTTGTTATTTATTATGACTGTTGTTATTTGTTAGAATTGTTATTTATTATAACTGTTGTTATTTATTTTAACTGTTGTTATTTATTATAACTGTTGTTATTTATTATAACTGTTGTTATTTATTATGACTGTTGTTATTTATTAGAATTGTTATCTAGTATAACTGTTGTTATTTATTATAACTGTTGTTATTTATTATAACTGTTGTTATTTATTAGAATTGTTATTTATTATAACTGTTGTTATTTATTATAACTGTTGTTATTTATTATGACTGTTGTTATTTATTAGAACTGTTGTTATTTATTAGAATTGTTATTTATTATAACTGTTGTTATTTATTATAACTGTTGTTATTTATTATAACTGTTGTTATTTATTATAACTGTTGTTATTTATTAGAATTGTTATTTATTATAACTGTTGTTATTTATTATAACTGTTGTTATTTATTATAACTGTTGTTATTATTATGACTGTTGTTATTTATTATAACTGTTGTTATTTATTATGACTGTTGTT